CTGGTTAAAAAGAACAAGTCAGTCAGCCCCTGACGTAGATGATCTGGTTAAAAAGAACAAGTCAGTCAGCCCCTGATGTAGAAAGGTTCACATTTTGTCTTCAACTGGTTTTTGAACCTACATATTTTCCTAGCATAATGAGATATTTATAACTCATGTCTATTTACTGCTATGAGTTTAAACATAATGTCAAAAATAATTTTTATTTTATTAAATAATGCACCTAAGAACACAGAATAATAATGTATACAAAGTAAACAATGCTTTAAACTATCATAATTTTTCTAGCTTTCAAACTATTTGATAAGAACCTTTAAAAACTTCAGCTAGCTTGTCAGTGGAATATTGGGAGAAAAAAGTCTTAAATTGGAAGCGAAATATACAATTTTCTGTATAGAAAACAATGTAATATATTACATGATTTGATAATTCAAACTTTGACTTTCTATTGGTTATAAATAATAGTGTTGAATGTCAGAGAGATCTATTTGTAATTTGTGAAAGAGAGGATGTGACAGGTGGACGTAGCAAATACGTCCGATTTTCTGGTTTATGGCTCTGTAAACAAGTAAGATTGAAGGAAATTAAGCTTTGCCTGAGTAATGGTTATACTATAATAAGTTAAATTCCATACTTTTTGGAGGGGTGGTCAATAAATTTGAGAAGAGACCTAGAGAACGATTGTCACAGTTCTGGTACAAGGAGAGATTGAGAATTTTTTAAATATTTGATTATGAAATTGAGAATTTAAAGCTTGTGTATTAAAATTTGATGTATTAACTATGTTTTGATGGCAAGTTTATTCATGTAAGATTATAATACGGAAGCTTATTTAAGTTTTGAATGTAATTCTAAACGTTTGTGACGTGCATTTTGACATGCCCGTAACGAAAGGATTGTTAGACTATATCTGTGTGTTCCTACTCTTCTCACTATCTCCTCATTTATCACATGATCCATCCTCAATGTTCTTCCTTAAAAACCATATCTTAATTGTTTCTGATGTCCTTTCCAAAGTGAATAACAAAAAAATTAACATTTTGTAATATTTACCCATTAATGAGTAGTATAAATTTGTTTTTTCTGGTACAGTTACAGAATTTGTGGTGTTATGTTTGTCAATTGGAAGTGAAGAAAACACTGTTAGGTCTAAAGGTGAGGAGAGTAGTGTGTGAGAAGTTTGAATTTCACTTATTACAAACTTTATAATTTTTACCTTAATTAGCTCCACATAACGCCAGTTTTACACGTAACACCAGTTAGAGAATTCCTGATCTATAGGTAAGAATGCGAGTTCTTCATTGCTGGAGATCATTGATGTTTGATTTTATACGAGTTGTTGTTTTAGGGTTACTTACGAAATTCCAGGCGAACTCTGTCTTCCCGTTTCTGCTCGGACACAGCTTTGGTTGCTTCATACACCAGCCTTAGAACGCTTCTTGCTGTTCATGATTTCGTCATTAGCTTCAGAAACCAAAAGTAACTCGTCAAGTGAGACATTTGATTTACTTCAACAAACAATTTTGGTAGGTTCTACAGTTGTGTTAACTCGTAACTTTAAAGTCTTTCAGTTTTCTCCTAACTTTGACCTACTTTTACTGGCTTTAACTAACTTGTAGTACTGTTTTTGATGTTGGTCAATCAGTTTCAACTAAAAGTTTTGGTAGGTTCTACAGTTGTGTTAACTCGTAACTTTAAAGTCTTTCGGTTTTCTCTAACTTTGACCTACTTTTACTGGCTTTAACTAACTTGTAGTACTGTTTTTGATGTTGTTCAATCAGTTTCAACTAAAAGTTTTGTTAATTTCATAATCTTGATCATGTTCTCTCTATTTTTAACTATTTAATGATCACAGTTTTGCTTTGATCAGTTTCTGATATTTCATAATCTTGATTTTCCTTTGACTGGTTTAACTATTTTACAATCCTGTTTTAACTGTTCCTTGATATTGATTGATCCAGTTACAGTTGTTTTCATACCCTTGAACAACCCAGTTTTAAATGTTTCTTGATATTGATTGATACAGTTACAGTTGTTTTCCTACCCTTGAACAACCCAGTTTTAAATGTTTCTTGATATTGATTGACCCAGTTACAGTTGTTTTCCTACCCTTAAACAACCCAGTTTTAACTGTTCCTTGATACTGATTGATCCAGTTAGTTGTTTTCCTACCCATGAACAACCCAGTTTTAACTGTTCCTTGATACTGATTGATCCAGTTAGTTGTTTCCTACCCATGAACAACCCAGTTTTAACTGTTCCTTGATACTGATTGACCCAGTTACAGTTGTTTTCCTACCCATGAACAACCCAGTTTTAACTGTTCCTTGATATTGATTGATCCAGTTACAGGTGTTTTCATACCCTTGAACAACCCAGTTTTAACTGTTCCTTGATATTGATTGATCCATTTACAGTTGTTTTCATACCCTTGAACAACCCAGTTTTAACTGTTCCTTGATATTGATTGATCCAGTTACAGGTGTTTTCATACCCTTGAACAACCCAGTTT